TAAAAGAATGGCAATCACACAAAGCATGCTCTCAGACCACAATGGAAATTAAATTAGGAATCAATAACAGAAAGATAGCTGGAAAATCTCAAAATATTAGATTAAACAACACACTTCTAAACGTGAGTCAAAGAGGAAAGCTCAAGAGAAATTTAAAAATATGTTGAACTAAATGAAAAGAAAAATACAACTTATCAAAGTTTGTGGGATGCATCAAACGCTGTGCTTAGAGAAAAATTTACAGCAGTGAATGCATACATTAGAAAAAAAGAAAGACCTAAAGTCAATAATCTAAGCTTCCACCCTAAGAAATTAGAAAAAGAAGAGCAAATTAAATCCAAAGTAAGCAGAAGAAAAGAAACAATAAAAATTAGAGCAGTAATCAGCATTGTTAAAAACAGAAAATTAATGAAACCAAAAGTTGGTTCTTTGAAAAGATCAATAAAATTGATAGAACTTCTAGCCAAGCTAACCAAGAAAGAGGACAGAGATTACTGATTCAGAAATGAAACAGGGACCATCACTACTGATCCCGTGGCCATTAAAAGGATAATAAAGGAATGTGATGAATAACTCTATGCCCACAAATTTGATAACTTAGATGAAATGGACCAGTTCCTTGAAAGATATAGATAGGTGGTAGAAAAATAAAGGACTCTTGTGATTACATTTAGACTCACTCCAGTAATCCAGAATAATTCTCCCACCTCAAGATCTTTAATCGCATCTACAAAGTCCCTTTGCCACATAAAATAACAGGTTTCGAGGATTAGATCATGGACATTCAGCCTACCACACCTGCTGAGAGTGAGTGAAGAATATTTGAAATAGTTGAGAAAGAGACTGCATACTGGGAAACCAAGAATGCACTCATTGAGGTTGGAGCCCACTAATCTACAGGCATCAGTCTGTGAAATTGGATAATCCCTGTTCGCAGCCTTAGAGTAGCTGAAGAACATGTTGAACTCAACCAAGGTTGGGATTTTTTCTTGGAATATGGGATAGAGGGGCAATGGAACAAGGAGGTTGTTGACGAGAGTTGTTGAACTGATCGGACAATGAAACCAAAGATAGAGACAGGAAGGATTAGAGACTGGTAGTAGAAGCTAATTGGGAGAAAGTCATGGGTGCTTGTGATGAAGTGAAACCGCTATGGAAGGAACAACAAAGTGAACAGGTTAAAAGGAACAGGAGATCAGAGTCAGACTGGTTTGTGTGAGTTACTTCAGAAGTGCAAGTTTCTACTGATGACAAGGAGCGGATGTGGCCAGGGAATTGGTTAGTTTGATTAAGATAAAGATAAAAATCACTGAAGCAAGGCAGACCAAGGAACTGACAGGCCAGTGTTGAATGGTGGACCAAATGCTAAAACCACCCAGAATTTCAGCATGACTGGAGAGAAGAGAAAGTCTGTGAGTCAGAGAGGAGTCTGCCAAGAGTATTAGTCCCAGCACATTCCTGGTGGATTAGGAGTAGGGTGAGGATAGCGGAGTAGGCATTCAGGCTTTCAGAATTCAGCAATGGCCCAGATAGCATTCCTTTCAAAGGCAGTCTTAGCCTCCAATGATTAGAAAAACTCCAACCGGTCCTAAATCAGCTGTAGGGTGGACGGATTATATGGCTGTAGGTTCACAAGCTCCCAGGAACCAAAGGCAACCTACAATTCAACTGGTGCTATGAAGGCACTTAGTTACTTGGAGACAAAAAATGTTCATTTATCACAATAGTTATCCTAAAGTGCAAAGTCACAAAGTACAGCTAGAAAATTAACAGAAATTTGTGTTCTAGAACCAACATCTATGTGTTCAGGTGGAAGGAGGTAGGGCTAGTAGGCATCCTGTTAGTGATTATAATCATTTTCTTTAACAAATTGTTAGGAACCAAATCTATTAATGAGACTACCCACAAGTCTAAGCTATTTCACAGATAAAAACTTCTCAGACCCCACTAGCTACCCTCTCATTAACTAGGCACTGAAATCCACTATAATTCTTAGATACTAAGTTTCATAGTTACTTAAATCTACACTGTCCAAATGTTTTTATTCTACAACAAATTAAAGAATTTAAAGGGACACACTGCCACCCATCATCTATTAACAATTCTCACCTCAAGACCTTGTGCCTTTCTAATCCTTCTGGAATGTTCTTCCCCTAAATATCTGATCCACAAAGCCATTCAAATGTCATCTCATGAGAAATGCCTTCTTGGACCATCCTACTTAAAAATAGTTAACCCTTCCCAATCATTCTATTTGGTGTAAAGTTCTAAATACGCACTTTGTTGTTGCTAGTAGATTCTAGCAACCCTCTGTATAGCAGGGTGGAACGCTCCCGTCTTTTCTGCCTCATCCTCCCATTTTCCAGCCCTATTACCCGACAATGCTCTGCTGCTATTCACAGGGTTTTCATGGCCAATTTTTTCAGAAGTGGGTGGCCAGATCCTTCTTACTAGTTTACCTTAGTCTGGAAGCTCCACTGAAACCTGTCCATGGGTGACCCTGCTGGTATTTGAAATTACCAGTGACATGGCTTTCAACATCACAGCAACACACAGCCGCCACAGTTTGACAACTGACAGAAGGGTGGCATGGTTCTTTGACTGGTAAATGAACCCAGGCCACAGAAGTGAGCGTGCTGAATCTTGACAACTAGACCACCAGACCACCAGGCCTGGCCTGGCCTACATACATACTAACTCAAGCTAACTGCACTGTCTTCAATAATTACTGTTTATTTTTTGTCTACTTGATCTTTCAGTTTTTGAGGGGGAGAGAAGTGCATTAAAATCTCCAATTGTTGATATTTGCATTTCTCTCTTCAGTTGACTGTTTTTGCTTGATAGAATTTAAGGCTAAGTGCACATAAGTCAATGATGGATGTATCTTATTCTATTTTTTTATTGAGATACAACTGACATAAATTACTTTCAGGTGTACATGATATACATATATATTGCAAAATGATCACATCTACTTAACTCATTACCACACAGCTACAAATTTTTACCATTAAAATTTGTATTTTCTTAACCCAATGTATAATAATGTCTCTTTGCCATTATATTTTGCATTAAGTTCTATTCTATTGGACTATTACTCCATTTTAATTCTCATTCATATTAGCCTGCTACATCTACTTCTATCCTTTTATTTCAATGTTTCTGTTTTTAAGTGTCTTTTGTAAACAATTTTAATACAATCTGAGTCTTCTAACTGGCTAACAACTCATTTACACTTATTCTAATCAGTGTTACATCAGAATTTCTGCCACCTTATTTTCCATTTACTATAATCTTTCTTTGTTCCTTTTTCTGCTTTCCACTAAACTGAGTTTACTTCTGAGTTTTACATTTTGTTTTCTTATGGTGGTTTTTATAAGCATATTCATATTTGCTTATGCAATTTCTTAATCTTTTCAATGTCTATAACTTTGTCTTAACAAGAGGCATTTTAGCTCTTATTGTCTTAGTCTATACCTTTAACTCCAATCATGATAGTGCCTAGAATTGTTATAATGAAAATAGCTTCTCTTTAAGATAACAGTAAACACTACAAAAATATTTGGTCACCTACTTCTCATATCTCTTGCAGCATCTTCCAGATTTTGCATCTCTTAATACTGTTCCAAAAGTATTTTCTGTGAGAAACTTTGTAAGGAAAATCTTGGTTTGTATGCTTAAGGATATTTTAAAATGCTGTCACATTCTAATGCTAATTTGGCTGGATATAAAATTTTAAGTTATTTTTCCTTCATACTTAAAAAAAACCCTTCATCTTCCTACACTCAATAATGCTTTTGAGAAATCTGATGTTAATCTGATTCTCTCTCCTTTGAGAATAATCTGCTCTTTTTCTCTGTTAGCTTTTAGACTCTTTTTCTTTGATATTCTTAAATTTCACCATAACCAACACAACTTTCTATATTCATCCTATGCTTGATTTTTCTTCATTGTAATTACCACTACCTGATATATCACATATCTGTTTCTCTCTCCCCCAATAGAAGATAAACTCTGTAAGAATAAAGACTTAATTTTGTTCACTATTGTATTTATCATACCTACTATGGTGTCTGAAACTTAGTAGGTGCTCAATAAATACAGATTGAATTATGGTTCTTTACCCTCTAGGCCTTGCCCATTCAATTCATTGTTTCAAGAAAGAAATCACAGAAATCTGAAAACAAATTCCTAAATTATCACACTATGCCTTGAATCTTCGTGTCTTTTCCAGCTGTTCTGATAAACTTGGCAGGATCACCAGGACAAAGGACTTCTTGCTGTTTGTTCCCTTGAGACTAGAGACTTCTTTAAGTACTTAGTTCTCAAATGCCTCTCATTTAAGCTTGTCTTTATTCTCCTTAGAGCTTTCAGAAACTAAAAGGGCCTCTGCCAAATAGGAGGGTAGAATGGAGGTAGGGGGTGGAGGGACATGATACAACCCTGCCTCCCTTACCTAAAAAGGACTGATGCCCATGTCTCGGGTTCACATGTTTACACTCAAAGTAGAAGGGGAGGAGAGAGGAGAATAGATGCAACCTTGAAACACTGAGTGACACACTACTGGATTTCACTGATCCCAGTGTTGGCCTTTATCCTGCTTCCCATACCTTGAAGCTAAATCCTCACATCTCAATTGTATCCACCTTATAACTCTTAGAAACTCTAAATGATCCCAATGGAATACTTTTTAAAAAGAATGCCACTGAAAGCAAAATCCCCAGGTCAATTTATGCAAATGTCATCTTGCTGAAAGTAACCTGACAAATTACATGTTTGCCAGGATATTCAGTGATGAAGATTGATTAGTTCTAAAATTACTAAAACACTAAAAACAAGTCAAGCTGCTGTGGCACCAGAATATATTGGTAGGTGGCTTTTTTTTTTTACAAACTTGAAAGAAATTAAGATGATTAAGTTTTTACTCCCACAAAGAAAAAACCTTTTGCAAAAATATCTTGATACCGTTAAGTGACAACAAAACACAAATACAAATGAACAACTGTGTACAAAATAATTTATTACAGCATTATATAGGTTGGCATTATTTTACAGTGAGTTTTTTTTCCTCTCAACAACTATGAATCTAAATAGCTTAGAGTGAAGGAAAATCATTTTAATTAGCTATGTTTCTCTAAATAAAATCTCCCTTTTTGAATTTATGTTTTCCTTAAAGGGGAAGTATTAATATTACAGACATATTTACAAAGTTCTGAAACACTAAATGATTCCATTACTGTTTTCTGTACAAGACAGAACAAAAAGCTATCCCCTCCAAAAAATATTGCCCAACAATACTATGTTTTAATAGTCAAATGAATGATAGTTTAAATTCTCATTTTGCTGATATAAAAACATATTTAATAGTCAACACATGGCTATAAGAATGTTTCACTATAACTTATACGCTGCCCTATTAGCTCCCTTGAAGCACACTACTCAGATATAAACCTTGTTAACACACAAAGCAATTAACTCGAGAGAGCATAATTCTTGCCTGTGGGTCTGTAAGACTGATCTAGAGATATGCAACAAATTTACCAGTGAATATCCATGATTAAGAGGCAAACAAACCCCCACCTTCTGAAATCAGCTACATAAAAGTGGAGTACCCTTATTCAACAGAAAGTATCATTTTCATAGATAGTGAAAAGGAAACTGTAAATCATGAAAAAATTAAGGTGGAAAAAAGGGCAAACTGAATTTCTAAATAAACCTCAGTATTTGCCAAAAGGAGCTCCATATTGTTTTTAGCATACAGTTAACATTTAAAACTCTTGTGAATTAAAAAGCAAGCAAATAAACAATAAAACAAACCAGTAAGGGATCAAAACATAGATCCTACAACCAGGATATAAAGAAAATAATACAATGGGCCTGTATACAACTCAGCTTACTAAGAAATCATCATATTCATGATACAGAAGTGACAGCACCCATCATAATGCCGATAATTTGAGAGTTTAAGAAAACTGTACAAGTATAAACAGGTAATTTTAATAGATGTTCACATAAATTGGCAGAATCAGATAAAGAATAAAATAAGTTTACAGAACATTCCATTTAAAAATTCTAGCCAATTTTTTCATTTCATATCTACATTAAAATATACCCTGGAAAAGAAACCCTGATCTGAATTCAGCTTTGAGTCTTATAGGAGTCAACTTTCTACGGGATTTCACATTTCATTTGCCAGGACATCATAGTTAGACGTGTGGTTTAGGGCCGCACTGTGGCTGTGGACTTCATTCACAGCAGGCAGGAACGCAGACGTGAAAGGAAGCAGGTGATGACAAGCCATCCTGTATTCTTCATACTGGGAGTTACAGATCCCAAAGCTGCCATCAAGCAGGGCCTCAGAAACCTTTACTAAAGTCTATTGAAACAAGGGGAAAATAAAAATTATCAAAAAAAAAAAGTTTGGTTAATCATCACTTTAATCAAAAGATGCAATCTATTAACTAAGCAAGAGAAAACTGACAAGGCCTCAGTCTAAAATAACTTCTTGCTATCCATGGTAAGTAATCACTCAAAAAAGGAACATTTTAAAAATCAATTCTGCAAAGCTTTAAAAAAGCAGTAAAATTCATATACTTGAAAAAGTGAATCTCTGAAACTGTGATCACTAAAATGAGAGTGTCCTTTATTAATAACAGTTCCCATTTACTGAGTGCTATATGCCAGGCAGGTACTAAGCACTTCACAGTTTATTATTTCAGTTAACTCTGATACCAACTCTGTGAGACAGACAGTATTTTCATCCTCATCTTATAAATGAGGAAAAGGAAGCTACGAGAGGTAACTTGCCGCATGTGACACAGTTCAGAACTGGTGGCGCTGAGATTCAAATCCAGGCATAACACTGAAGGCCTGCTCAAGAACCACGCCATAAAGATACGTTTTCTCAGATCACTCACTATCGGTAAATTTGCAGATATCGGTCTGTGAAAATTCTTACCTTTACATTTTTATCTTTTATAGTTTCATCCAGTCTAGTGGCAACAGCAATTGCTTTCTCTTGCCTTGACTTGTCCAGAAAATACATCATTTTAGCACCTAAAATACCAAGACACTTCAAAATGAGTAAATTCCCATGTCTTGCATTTGATTTAACTTACATTGCCCAGCAACTTAAAATATGGTTCCAAGTGTTTAATCAGCGGTGCTCTGCTGAGCCAACTGTGACATTTCTTCCCAACTCCTTCTTCAGTGACATCCCACTGACACCTTGAGGCCACAATGGGAGTATTTATATTATGGCAAAACACTACAAATCAGGGCTTTTTCAGTCACAAAGAGATGGTTATTAAACATTTACCACTAGACCAGATTTAACCACCCCACCAACTCTAGAACTCAAAATGTAAATAGGGGCTGCCCTGTGGCATCAAATCATTATTTCAGCTACAATCATTCAATCATTAAAAAACATGATACCATAAAATAAAACATCTAAGGAACAAATTATTGTTACAGAGGAGTATCATGGAAGGACAAGAGAAAATGTCTGCGTATTCACCAAGAAAAAAAGTAACTGTTAAAGCTATTTTTAAATAAAACCCAGTTTATATTTCTCCTGTAATTACATGGTCTATCTTTATTTTTCTATTGGACTGCTATTAATTTATATCGTTTATTGTTAATTTTTAAGAGCTCTATGTATATTATTAGCTTTTTATCAGTTATATATCTGTGAATATTTTTTCCCCAATTGGTCTTGACTTTCTTTATGGTGGCAAAAATTATCTTCTTAGTATTTCATATTATGTTTGGAAAGGCGCTTCCCATAATTATAATAAATAAATGTTTTCTTCCATTATCCTGTGTTCTTGAAGAGAAATTCTTATCTGCCCTTACTACCAAGAAGTGCTGTAATTTTTCCCAGGAATTAACTTCTTTTCCTAGTTATCAGAACCTAAAAGTTTCCCTTTACAACAAGAAAGCTCAGGTTAAAATATTTAAACATATGGCATAAAGTAGGAGCATACTTAATTATACTAGGCACTTCATTTTGTCCCCAATTCCTTTTCCACAATCTTTTGTCCAGTTTGCATTTATGCCATCTTATCATTTTGTGAATTTGTATAAACTGCCTAAAATCCTTCCTGTAACAAGGCAGGATAGAAATAAATCCTGAAAATACAAAAATATGTAAAGTAATAAAAACACAAGAAAAAAATAAATCATTCATAACCACAACACCCAAAAGCAATCACTAAAAGCTCTGGTGCAGACTTCTTTTCAGCCTTTACCCCATGTATATTATTTTTACACAGTTGAGATTATATCGCATGTTAATTCTGCATACGCATTATAGAAGTATTCTCCCCTGTTATTACAAATCTTTGGAATAAACATCACTTTATATGACTACCTGGTATTCCATCCTATGAACCTACTGTTTCCCCTGTTACTGGACATACATTAACTTTGTTTCCATTCTTCTCCCCATACTTACCCACAACGTGTCAGTCACCATCTCTGCACTTAAAGCTCTTTCTTTGCTTTGGCTTAATTCTTTAAAAGTATTTACAAAAGTTACAACTAAAGCAAAAGACACGGCTAACGTGAAGCTCTTGGTAAGAATGACAAATTGCTTTCCTAAAATGGCTGGGCCAATTTACACTTTCAGCAGCAAAATACAAGAGGACTTATTTGCCACATCTTTACCATACTTGAATCTCTTTTGTTCAAACCAAAAATTTTTTTTTGCTAATTTGAAAGATCAAACATGGTACTGTAGTCATTTCTTCTTCTCTGATAATTAGTGAGGTTGAACATCTTTCCAATTTTTTTTCACTGCACTCTTTTTTCCATAAACATTTTAATCCTGGGAGCTAAATACCAACCTGAAAGCAGATGCTGAAGAGAGGTAGCATTGCGCTTGAGAAAATCCTCATTAAAACTTTCCAAATCCTTGTTGACAAATATTTTCTGCATTTCTTGAGATAGAACTTGGCTAACAATGTCTGGAAGGTTACTCTGATTAGACACTGTAAAAATAAAACATTTGGAATGAAAAAATTTTTGATCTATCCTTCGAAACAAAATCAATTAATACATTTATATTTATTATTAAACTTGATAGATTTTACATAGTAAAAATACTGTTCCTTCGGAATATACACATTCTAGCTTATAAATGCACTAATTTATAGCATGTCTTTGATAACATACTTAATTTACAGAAACATCTTCATTTAAATACTTTAAACATTATCTCTTTTTTTGCTTTACATTGTTGCAAATCTCCTTAACATCCAGTTTAATGGAAGACAACCGAATGGTCATATTTGCTTTTACATAAATATTATCTTTTTTATACTTACCAGATTTAGAAAACTTAATTAAACATTCATGTAACCATGGGTTATTACTGTTGATGGCAAAAGCTCGTTTGACAGACTGCAACATTAACAGAAACTTTCCTGTGTTACAAAAAAATATGAAAGTAACAGCATCAACATTTATGTTATTTCCTTCACTTTATTTTAGCCTCACTTAAAATTCAGTAACAAAATGTTGCCTTTCCTGTAACATTCACAAGTAAAATTCAAAGCAGACTGTGGTTATCAAAGACAATTTTCATTTTCTAAAGAAAAGCTTGAAAACTCACAAAGAACTGCTCCAGGTCGACAGTCTGTGCGACTGTTCAAACTACGCTTAACATGCATTTGACCATAATATCCTAAGTTATTACCCAGGGAACTGTTGGGTAGCAAAGGAAAAAGGGATTAAGAACCTTTGTGGAAGACTGAAATGGAACTCTAAGGAACAAAAATAGCTCTAAGTGACAAAGATTACACTGAAAATGGTCTCCAACATAATTAAGGATTAAAAACTGAATTCAAACTATTACCTTTTCTAAAATATATTTCAAATGCTAACAGATGAGTGTCAATGTTATCAGCGACAAGGTTCTTAAGAGGTATAAGGAACTTGATAGCTTCTTCTAACGGATTTTCTATCTATTTTGAAACAGAAAGGAAAATTATTATATTTCAAAAACAGCTACACAAGTTAAATTTCCCCTAAAATTTTATATACATATCTAAAGTAATTGAGACAGTTCTCTTTATATAACCAACAAGCAAGAAAACATTTTAAAAATATCATCTATAAACAAATTCAAAGTAAATAGTCAACAACTATCAAAATGGAAATAGCTCTTTTTTTCTGATTATAAAACCAATATAATTTTATAAAAATCCAAAAAAGTACAGAAAACTATTCCATAGACTTAAGGAGATGGTACACCAAGAACTGACAGTCCCTTACACTAAAAAAATCTAAAGGAGACAAATATAATTGCATGATGTAACTGAAAAAAAAGTAATGACAAATGTAAAATACTTATCCTAGATTCAGTGAATAAACCAGAAAGCTAAGTACTTCCCTAAATCTAGTCCCTAAATAACTATTAATACTTTGAGAAAATCCTGGAAATGAAGTGATATCTCTTTCTAGTTAAAACATATCTAGCAAGATATATAAAATGCTTTCATATTTAACAGACAATTGTATTGCTGCTGTAACAAATTAACACAAGTTTATTGTATTAAAACAACACTCGTGCAGTTCTGTCAGAAGCCCCCCATGGGCCTCACTGGGCTAAAATCACGGTGTCAGCAGGACTGCGTTCCCTTTTGGAGACTCTACAGGAGAAGACGTTTCAATGCCTTTTTCACCTTCTCAAGCCTGCCTAACAGACGTCTAGGCTTGTGGTTCCCCCGGCCCTCTTCAAAGCAAGCAGGATGAGTCCTTCTGACACCACTCTGACCTCCTCTCCTGCCTCCCTCCTGCACCTCTAAGGCCCCTTGTGATTACACTGGGCCCACCTGGACCGTCCAGGCTGCCTCCCTGTCTTAAGACCAGCTAAGTACAACATTAAACCCCATTAGCCACCCTCATTCCCCTCTGCCATGTAATACAATATATTCCCAGGTTCCAGAGATTAGGACGTGGACACCTTTTAGAGCCACTGTTCTGCCTACCACTACTATAATTTTATGAATAATTAGTATTAGACAACATTTGCATATTATCGCTCAAAAATAACTGATGACTACCTTAATGACCTTGAAATAGTACAAATGGCTTCTGATTTATAGATTTAAATGCATCATGTTTACGACCAGAATAGAACCAAGTAACATAAATTTTACCAAATAAAGGTAGTAAACTCATCTCACCCTTTCTAATTTTTCAGGTCTAAGTTCTTCTTTGAGACCACTGGCTTCTTCTTCTTCTTCATCTCTTTTTTTCTTTTGACTTTTTTGTTGACGTTCCCTTTCTGCGTGCTTTTTCTCTTCTTCTAATTTAGCCTTTTTCTGAGCTCTTCTCTGCTTGCTAAGCATTTTCTTCAATTCTTTGGCTGACAGGTTTTCTATAAATATTCAAATAAGTGAAAATTCTGAGTCAATGTTTCCATTTTCCGTATATTCTTCTGCAATACATACTATTAGCAGAGCTTTTGGAGGGCAAGGAGGAAGAGGCAACTCCATCAAAGGTTTTAGAAAGTGCATTCCTAATGACTAGCACAAAATCTGGCACACAAAAGGCAAACAGCAAATGCTGCATCAACCAAAACTAACTGATGCTAGCCCAGTTCTGCCACCGACACCATACATGACTGTAGGCACATCACTTCATCACTCAGTCTCAAGTCCCAAAGTGTGCCAAGTGGGGCTGAGATCACCAAGCACCCTCTTGGAATGCTATTTCAAGGATAGGTGAGACAATGCATATAGACACTAGATACATATTAGGAATGAAAGATCAGAAATTTGCCTCCACGCTACTGTTTCTCAAATATTCCTAGATATTATAGTGAATAAAAGGCTGTACAGATATTCTCATTGGCATTATTATTTTCTATCAAAAGGTACTAGCAGTTTTAAGAAACATCTTTCTCTAAATAATTTTCCCTAAGAGGCTCAAAGTTATTTTTAGTTACAATAAAAAAAAGAAAGACCCTAGCCCATAGACACTTCTATTATTCCTGAATTGGCCTTACTAAGGATAAAAATAAAAACGATTATGAGTCATTCCATCAGGGTGATTTAGAAGCATCAGCTACAGAAAGAACATCATCCTGCCGACTTTTTCTAAGTTTCTCCACTTTTTTTTGGTAGCATAACAGTTTATCTAACGCTGTCTTCACATCCATTTGACAATACACTTTTCTATGAATTATTTATGTCAATGACATTCTCAAATTTAGTGTTCTTTTCAAATCTTCTTAAGCAAGTACTGTTCAGTTACCTGAATTTATTTCTTGCTGTTGGCTTTCACTGGTTAAGGGATCATCATACAATTTCAAGTATATTTCAATTGCAGATCTAGCAGCCTTGAAATAGAACGCATGTCTTCTGAGTGTGTCTTCTAATCTCAAAAGGTCAACATAGGCCCGAAGGGTCATCTTTCTCATGCAGTATGTATGGAAGTCAAATTGATCGTCAGTTATCTCAAAAAAATGCTTAAAAACAAAACCACAAAATTACCCCTTACATGTATGTCAATAATGTCTACTTTTGAAAAGAAAATCATAGAAAGACTTCTTTTCAGAATAAGAAAAACAATTAAACAGTCACAATTTCACTTAGTTGCCCTCTCTACTGTTGAAAGGACATCAAGTTGTTCTTTGTATTCGATTAAAGTTTCTTACTACACATAATCCATGCTTATTCCATATAAATCATGTTTTGTGATGATACTCAATTTCTACGTAATAAGTCAGACAATCAAGTTATTTTGTAAATGTGGAAATTAGTACATATTGATATTTTAGTTTTAACAAAATATTTCTCCTCAGTATTCCTCAAAAATCAGCACAGCAGAGTTACACAGAGCTCTGAATTAAAACTAAATATATACAGGTTCACACTAAATACTTACAAATCAGACTGTTCTACTCAACTCTGAGCGCTTCGAGGGCAAGCAAGCCTTCCCACTGCCTGGACAGAGCCTAGCGTAGCAGACATTCAACAAGCATGCTATTTGCCAACTCAAGAGATAGGCTACTTCTCAGGCATGTGACCTCTTAATCTCCTAGAGCCTCAATTATTTAATCGAATTTAGGAATAAAGAAAACTATATAGCCAATTTCATAAGGTTGTTAAGGGACAAAATAAGAACTATTTTAAAGTTCACTCTAAACATTACTATTACACAAATGCAGAGCATTACGGTTTTCTCTCACTCAATAAGCTTCCGTTAATCTACCTATGTTCCATTTTAGCCAAGGTTCTTCATCTGGAGTCTGTGTGTATATAAGCATGACAGCGTTTTTGTAAGGGGAGAGCTCAAGGCTTTTATCCAATTCTCAGAGTCCCTGGTCCAAAGAGAGTTAAGAACTAATCCCTTACGTGGAAAGAAAATGACTAACTCCCCTAAAAAACAGTTCATAATACTTTTGTTTTCTTCCCTACATATATCTCTAACACTATCTTCTTTCTTTTCCTCTATTGCAGCTTCTCCAAAAACATATAGAAAAATGAATGTTTTCACACACAAACACACACTAAGCTCTTCTACTGCTTCACCTTCTCTGCGTCCTGGGGGCCCAGAACACACTGTGGAGAGGACACATTAGTAACTGCCCAAGTCATCTGATAATTTTAGTTGTCTTGGTAATTAGAAATACACTGTACACAGAACTACATTAAGTACCAGAGACTTTCAGGGAAGAATTCTTAAGATAAGAGAATAAAAGTACACAGTGTAGCAGGAAATTAAAATTTTTAAAAAATGAACATTTCACATTAGTTTATATTTATTACTTCAATAATTATGCTTTAATGATGTTATATTTGAAAACTGCATTCCTCCCATCAAGAAGAGAAATCAACTCTTAAATAATAACATAAACTTAGTTTTTACTTTTCTTAATCAAAGGATTCCGTATTTCCTAAAGATGTTCATGGTTAATGTAAATCGAATTATGTCTAGCACCATAATATCTTAAAATTCAATACAACTGACTGAGGAAAAATGGCAAGGCCAAAAATGATGGAACACATAATGAGTTGAAAATATCTAACAGCTTACAGGCTTTTTTTAAGCTGAGAAACATTTGTGTGTAAAAAGGCAGACATCAGTTTCAAGAGATATTCCTAGCAGCACATTCCTAGGAGACACAGAATTTAAGTCAAGTCTTGGAGGGAGCCGTAGGGAACCACAAACATTTAAGCCGCCTCTTTATCAGTAACAGCCCACAGGCTGCCTCTCTCCAGTTAATGTCTTCCATAAATAGGATAACCAACTTACCCCAGTTTGCCTGAGGCTTTCTGAGTTTTTGCATTGAAAGCTCTATGACTCAGGAACCTGCTCAGCCCCAGGCAAATCTGGATGTTGATCACCCTATAATAAGCTAATTGTGGTGGACAGAACATGGCTAAATTAGTATCCTACGTTTTCTAATTTAATCTAGCCATATTCTGTATTGCAGAACCCTACTCAAAAACAACTAAATAATCTTAGGTTTTCTTCTTTTTTTAATTTTTTATTTTGGAATAATTAGAGATACAGAGGAAGTTGCAAAGGTAGTATAGAGATGTCCTGTGTACCCTTCCCTCAGTTTCCCCCCAAATGTTACATCCTACATAACTACAGTACAATATCAAAACCACAAAAGTGGCATTGGTACAACATGTGTGTGTAGTTCTATGTGATTTTATCATGTGTAGACTTGTGTAACCACTACTTCAACCAAGATACAGAACTATACATACTGGTCATCAAGCCATGCTGTGGCAGCATCCCGCATATAAAATAGAGGAAGATTGGCACAGATGTTAGCTCAGCAACATCTTCCTCATGCAAAAGGAAGACCAGCAACAGATGTTTGCTCAGGGCCAGTCTTCCTCACCAAAATAAAATAAACCGAACCTTGTAAGAATAATACAACTAGGGGCCAGCTCCGTGGCCGAGTGGTTAAGTTCGCACGCTCCACTGTGGCGGCCCAGGGTTCGGATCCTGGGCGCAGACATGGCACTGCTCGTCAGGCCATGTTGGGGTGGCATCCCACATCCCACAACTAGAAGGACCTGCAACTAAGATATACAACTATGTACCAGGGGTGGTTTGGGAAATAAAGCAGAGAAAAAAAAAAAAGAACACTACAACTGAAATGATTAGTAAAAATAAAACTTGAATTATAAGATTGTTTATAATGCCAATTTCCAAGCCCTTTGAAGTTGTTACAATCTATTGTTTTTGTTTAAAGTTTGATTGACTTAAAAATATAGCAAAAATTAATGCTTTAATATTACTAGCTAAAAGTATTATTTAAAAAATTTTTACACAAACTTTGAAAAAACTAGGGGTCACTGGTCATTCACATGTATGTAGCCATGTAATGAAAATTAATACAAAAGTTTAGCTTACATATGCTAATAATTTAAAATATATAGGAAAAAAAAAGAGACAGAACTATTCCATCACCACAGAGATCTCCCTTGTACTACCTTGGGGTGAGTTTTTAAGTCTCCAAACTTATAAAACATAAAAATACACTAGATAATAACACAAACAGGTAAAGTTAGCTTCTCTGCACTTCAGACAAATGAACATAAGGTCACATCAGCTCGCCACAGAAAGTGAGTACCCAAATTTTAACACACAGCTAACACCCTCCTTTCATCATAAACAGTAGTGCTCTCTTATTTGGCGGGGGAGCGGGGGGAGGGGTTAATACCAGCACAAATCGCTGAAATTGTCAAAATTAGGCTTAAGTCAAGTAAGACAAGTCAGCATAGAATTAAGAAATGCTATTCACAGCTTTAAGGGCATGGTTTTCTTTAGTAATTTCCTATTAGGCTCTCTCTTCTGACCCATATTCTCCCATCCATTACTTCTCAGAGTTCTGGAGGAGACCAGTAAGAGCTTGCAGATAGAAAGGGAACAAAAGCCTCTGGACTTAACAAATAATAACCAGCCGAACTAGGGTAATAAACTATTCTATTTCTTTTATAGAATATCTGTCCTTATAAAGCATGTGTCAATTTCATAAAGATTAAGATGCACTAGAAGACAAAGTTATGAACTTCCTATGGTTTTGACCTATCAGAAACCCTAGATCTTACCAAAAAAGTTTCAGAAATAAGTATTGTTGCTCTATTTCAGATATAAATCAGCACACTAAAATAATGAAAAACCAATCTCCAGAAAAAAAAGATAAGAAAGAAAACAATTCTTAAAAGATAAAATAGTTTAAGATGTTATTCTGAACACTAGGTTATATCCAATATTTTGAAGACAGCTGTTTTATTTTTAATAAAACTCAAGTTCTAAACATCAGATTGGGTTGGACTACATAACCTTTACATACAATTCTAAAATCGTATGACAGAGGCGAGGTGAAGACAGAAAAAGTCCTAGAGTGCGGCCAGTCCAGAACTCTAACATTCCAAACCCAACTACTAAGAGTGCAGAGCGGGGTGGGTCCCAGCCGAAACTGCCTGCAACAAAGATTTCTTGAAGGCAGAAGGAAGACTCAGCCCTTATTTGAACATATTTCTCTATTCACTGACCTTCTATTTAGAAGGTAAACTGCAAAGTTTTATTTTTAAAAGGTGCTCATTTCTTTACTAAAATATTTAAAACCCAGGCACAAAAGTAACTCAGGGAGATGTCTGAATTCTGTAATTACTCCTAAATCCTTACCATTATACTGTGAATGTGTTTTCTTTTAGAGTACATTAACTTTATTACAAATTAATTTTAGAAGTATTAATCAGTCTACAAATATTTAATCACCCTATTTGTACTAAGCACTCACATTTCTACATATAACCACCAGAAAAGTCTTATTTACATTTAGTAAAAATTACTCACTCTAAAGACTAGCTTACAAGTGGCCTAAGAATAGGCTCTTTTCTTGTTTATCTATTTCTAGTTCTTTCTATTCTCAGAGCAAGCTCTAAATAAAGACAGTAAAGTTTCTAGCAATAATTATGTAACGTGACCTAGACGGTGACATGATTTCTGCCATGTTTTAATCTCTGATAACCACTGATTTCCTATAAATTTTTTTCCTTCAAAATGCTTTTTACCAGTCAAATCATATTTCTTGAACTAGAAGTAGTTTATCCAACATTATAGTTTTATTTCATGTTACTCAGCCAAAATCACTAACAATTTAAGGGAAAGCATAATCTAAATGAAACTTAGCAATAGAACAGCTATTAATCATAGTCTAACAATCCTCAAAAAATATTAAAAAGAATACAGTAATACAGTTATTAATGTTAGGAGGAACGGGATTGAAGCTGGAGAAGTTTGCAATTATAATGATGTTAAGTATGTTCAAACTTCACTGTCACAGAAAATCTGATATATTTCTAGCTATGGTCTTGCTGCAATTACTAACCCATAAGTGCCTGGCAGCCTCTTCATTCAGAAAACAATCTACTACTCACTGAGCATGTCCTGGTTAATAAAAACACACCTTTCCCGAATATCAAGCAGAGTGCTTTTAAAGTGATAGTCATCTAGGAGTGTCAAAACAAGCTAATGATGTACAGTTTTACCACAGAAATAAGAGCCTGATTGAAACTAGAATGCTTGGATATTGACTGAATATTTCACATTATCATCCAAGGGCTTTATGTTTTTCAAGGAGAAGATGAGAAGGATTTTCCCCAGAGACACAGCCATCAAGCCCAGGCTTAAAAAGGAAAAAAACCCAAAACAAAGCAAAAAACTAGGTTATTTCTAAAAGGGCTCAGGTATAATCCTAGTTTCAGTTTCCATCAAAAGCCACCCCCTAGGATTCAGCCTTTCTTTTGGGTAAGCTCAGAAGTTTCACATGGGAAAAAGGCCAAAGTGACTGCCAGAGAGCAGACATGAGGCTCACCTGACTACGATGCCTGTGGTTTTATACTGCGCAGCGTGGGAACTGTGTGCCGAGTGACCCCACAACTGAGGGCTGCTGAGGACTGCCTTAGGGGTGCATTTGTGGCTCTGTTCCTCCTGGTGTCCATTTGGAAGGAGAGTGCTTCAGAGATGACAAAGAACAGGAAAACAAAAATTCACACAAAGGAAAAGAAAAGTCCCCTCACTAAGGCACATCACACTCATCATCTTAAAAGCAAGTAATAAAACAAGCCTGCAAACCAGCCATAGGTTGCTGCTCAAAGTACTGAATGTGAGAACAAACAGCCTGGGAAGACAAACTGGAGAGAGGCTGACTACGAAGCAGATCCTGACGCAAAGGGGAAAGAGGTGGCTGTCAGCTTGTGTATCCTTCTAGGCTAGTGATGAAAATCAAATAATGGCCCATTGAGGGAAGAGAAATTTTGAATATATGTTGGTAATAGCAATAATGGCTTACTAAATAAATTTTTTCCTTCTTCCTTCAGACAAAAATACGTAGACCTGTCAAAATCACAACCATTTGAGGAGCAAAAGAAAGCAATCATTTATTCACAACTTCTGAATTTTTGGAAGACTAAAGATCAAGAATTTTCTTGACAATGAAGTTTCCGAGGTAGTTAGAAGAGGTAGATGATCCTGTGTAGAAATCTACCTGTTTTCATCACCTTACAGGAGAAAAATAAAGTCAAAATTCTATCAACTTACCCTTTCCACTTCATGGCATTTTTTCAAGGCATCCCCATATCTCCCCAAACGCTGATAAGCTGAAATGCATTCTGTTTGAAACCACATACACTGCATTTCATTGAGATTTTCCATGGCAGATGTTCCCTCCTGAAACGGAAGCATTCATAACTATAGGAAACAAACAGTAAAAGAGATCCTAAAAATCTCATTTTCTCTTTTACAACTATGACTACCAAGTACTATTATGATAATAAATAGCACTTAACAAATATATCAATGTGCTTCCAAAAGGTTCCAACCAATTTAAAATTATACAACATCTTACTTATCCAGCTCTGTTGTGGTTCTCAACACTCTACATAGAAAAGACTCCAGATTACTAAAGCTAAGTTTTTAAACACCAAAGTTTCTAATTTAAACTATTTAAGACGGTAATCCTATGAAACATTGCCTACTTTCTGCCTATTAAGTAAAAGCTACTTAACCTTTCCTTGATGACTCAGCGTCACCATTATGTTCATCCATTCTTGTCAAATCTGTTACTAATAATTCAGTTTCCCAGTCCCCTCCCTGCACAGCAGGCTATCAGTTGTCACTGTCTTTGTACCCATGTGTCTGCTCCTAACAGCATCTCCTGCTCCAGGCCAACACTCTTCCTTTGCAGCAGACTGACAAAACCAAATAATGAAACGTGTTAATTTAGGCTCAATGTGAATTCTGAGAAGACTGTCAAGACATAAAATACTCAGTTTCAGTGTAAGGACACTGAGGTTTTGTCACAATTTAGAAGAGTTATTTCAAATATATTTTCTGCGAGCCCAGGAATGATGGTAAAAGTGTATTTACATAAATAATGTCAGTCTTCAGCTCCTTTTCACACCTATTTTATCAGTTCAATTTTCAGAATTCTCATTAAAAGTATAAAAACTGGTTATCTCTGAGTGAATGGTATTATGGGTGTACTTTATTTCTTCTTTACGGTTGCAAATATTTTTCATTTTCTGATGACTATATATGTTTATAAGAAATCAACATTATTTTTCATATCAAAACCTTTACCCACTAGAACTATCCAACTTGCATCAGCAACTCTGTACAAAAATTTACAACTGTGAAAAGTTAGCAAGAAGGAAATATGAGCACTTTACTCATTTATTAGCAAGCAGATATTAACCTCTTATTCAAGGTCATTAGCAGTTTTCCTCCCCTGGCTCACTATGTTATCCACCACACATTACAGATGTAATGTGCCCAGCCAATGAACCAGTATGGATAAACTGAATAAGCTCTCCACACAGCATGGGAACTTCAAGAGTAAATGACCGGAGGCAACTGTCATGAGCAATCTGAGCCACAGATTTTAGTGAGTACTCTCCTCAAATAGCGAACCTCTGCTCTTCTTTCTCATTCTCCTGTGCCTTTTCAGACACGTCCTAGTTGTCTGTGGCTTGGGGTGGGGGTGGGGGTATGTGTGTGTATGTATGTGTATGTGTATGTATATATGTGTGTGAGTGTGTGCGCGCTTGTGTTTGTTTTTTTTTAATCACTGGACTTATTTAACTACAGAAGTTTTGTACAGTCATTTTTAATTGTACTTTACTTATAATCTCTACCCTAGCCTGCCAGGTAGTACTTTTCTCTACAAACATCATTGCTTTTACATCTACTCTTATACTGTCTTTTAATCTTCAAAATCGAGATACAGTGGAAAGGGCACTGAAGAGTTTGAACCCCAGCACTATTTACTATGGGACCAAAGATGATTCAAGTGATGTCTTCAGAGCCTGAATCACCTTGCTGTAAAATGTCAAACGTGATTAAGTGCTACACAAAAGTATTACTATTTTCGTAATTTTATTCTAATACCCATCATTCTTGCTAATACTTTTCCCCAACATTACATCTTCCACTTTGCATCTGCTGTTGATCCTATGGCATCTGAGTTTTAGAAACATCAGTCACTGTAGCTTCTGTCCCTACTAGACGATTCTGAAACACGGATTTTAGAGTCAGAGACACCCAAGCTGGAATCCTGGCTCCAAATGAATGACTAGCTGGGTGATCTCCAGCTGGCACAGTACTTGACCTCTCTAAACATTTCCTTAACTGTAATATGAGGGTAATGATATAATAGGATCATTAAGATTAAATAACATCAATAAAGTACTTGGCTCAGTGCTTAATAATTGTTAAAGCCACCTTTCTATTTCCCCATACAAATGATGTACAAACTATTAGCATTACTCTAAATATCAGAAAGTAAAAGTCAGGCAGGCTCAGATGGAAAAAACCTTTTTATGAGAAGTGTATATACCTATAAATATATATATATAAATTAAATGGATATATATATCCATTAAAGGCCACTATCTATAGACCATATCTTGTTTCTCATTAATACATGACATATTTCATATATATACGTAAATGTGATATATATGTACTATATATATGTGACATACCATTTGTCAAAACCTAGTAATGTCAGGTACACATTTCTGCTAATTTGATAGGCATAAAATGATACCTTATTTTTTCCCTGATTACTGATATAGACATCTTTTTTGGTCATTCCATTTTCCACTTCTGCGAACTAACTATTCATATCCTTTGCCCAATTTTGTATTGTGTTGTCTTTTCTTTACTGAGTTTTGTGTGTGTGCGGTACATTTATATTTTTATGACATCATTCTTGCAAGTAAATTTTCATAGTAAAAGTTCAAGCTACTCTGTGGCTTCTAAATGATCAGGGGTTTCCATTAACACCCAGACACAACTAGAAATCTCAACACCTAAGGAAGGTGGTACACTGGTGCCATGTTAGCAATACATTAGCCTCACAGAGCACAGCAATAACTCATTTTCATCCTTAACATCTTACTAGCAAACACCATCACTAAAGCCCTCTGCTTTGTATAGAATTTCAAAGTATCTTAACCGTAACTTGGAAATCAAACTCGTAAACATGGTTTCCTCATTACGCCTCAATATCACATTCAAAGTGTGTTATATAACTATTTCACAGTGAATTCTTTAGAGTTCAATATAAATTCCTTTTTTGTTGTATGAGTTGGAAATATCAACTCCAATTCTATGGTTTATCTTCCTACTTTTTTTGTTGTTTTTTGTGAGGAAGATTGGCCCTGAGCTAACATTTATTGTCAATCTTCTTCTTTTTGCTTGAGGAAGATTCGCTCTGAACTAACATCTGTGCCAATCTTCCTCTATTTTGTATGTGGGATGCCTCCATAGCATGGCTTGATGAGTGGCGCGTAGGTCCGCACCCAGGATCCAAACCTGTTAATCCCAGGCCACTGAAGCAGAGCACACAAACTTAACCACTATGCCACTGGGCCGGCCCCTTCCCACTTTACTTACAGTTACTTTTTGTTATACATTATCATAAATTTTAAAATAGTCAAGTATATCAATTTTACTTTTGTACTTGATGCTTTTGGTGTCTTAGGAAATGTTTTCTACCTCAAGCCCTAAAGATAAACTTCTATATTTTCTTCTAAAAGTTTGAAAGGTTTACTTTCCATACTTAGATCTTTAATCCACCTGGAATTGATATGTGTGCAGTGTGAGATAAGGATGTCATTTTACTTTTTTCAACACAAATAACTAATTGTCCCAGCAACATCTTTTCACCTGATTTTTAAAGCACTCCTAGCTATACAACGTGTCCAAATATGTGTGAATCTGTTTCTGAGCTTTCTATTCTGTTCCATGAGTCTACTTATATGTTTAACCATAAACATGTATTATTTTAATAATATAACAGAAAATCTATGTGAAAAAGGACATGAAAGGATGATGAAGGACTGAAAAGAAAGGAACAAATGTTTAGACCAACAATTTCAGAGAACTTAAATCTTGAATGTCACAGAGACTAGTAGTCCAAAAAAGTTAGTTCTACATAGAAAGAACTCTATGAACAATTCTGAAGATCTGTAAAAGAGAGATTAAACAGCAGTCACAAATTACTAGTGAGACAAAAGAACTGTAAATTGAATTACACGTAATCACTGAGGTATGGCATGTTGCCTATCTTTCCATAAAAGTATTTTGCTCCTGATACTGCTTTTTAACCATCCTCCACCAGAAGTACATGCACGCACACACTCAACCACAGAAAGAAACCGTACTTAGGATATGAGCTAAATGGGGTTAAAAAAATAGTAACAAAAACGAATTCTTAAGAATGCCTGTGGCAAACTTCATAAATCACCACAGAACTTAAGTTTAATTTTTACTAACTCAGATAATTACAGCTATTTCCTACCCTTGTGAACTTGGAGCACATTTCCTCTGCTTCTTTTATCATGTTTGCTCGAAGCATGTATTTTGCACATTTAGAATTGATAAATCGATCAGCTGTGTCCAAAGACTGCGCTTCATCCATCCACTTTGCAGCTTCTTTGAGATTACCTATATGCTTTAAGAGATCAAAGTATTAAAGAAATCACAGTTTATGATTAAGAGAATATGGGTGCAATATAAATGGAAAAAGTTTATAAAGACAAATCAGAAATTTGGTAAAATTCCTGTCAAACTTATCTACAAATCTTTGGGTAAATTACAATTTACACTTACTAAGAGCTGAATCAAATCATCAACACTGATTACATAACTATGCAACATAAAACTCCTTAGGGTTATTAGAGTATTAGAAATAGATTACCAAGGTGCCCCGAAGTTATTGCTATATGGAAAGAACTCCAAGGGTTTTTTTCTCTTGATGAGGAAGATTGTCACTGAGCTAACAACTGTGCCAATCTTCCTCTATTCTGTATGTGGGATGCTGTCACAGCATGGCTTGATGAGCAGTGTCTAGGTCCATACCTGGGATCTGAACCCACAAACCCTGGGCCGCCAAAGCAGAACGTGTGAACTTAACCTCTATGCAACTAGGTCAGCCCCTCCACGGGTTCTTAAAAGTGGCCAAATTCTTCAACTATTCAAAAAACATGACTAAGATTTTACCTTATAAATTTTTGCTTTCATATAGAATAATTCTATTAGAGTTGGAGTACTAGCAATTGCAGCATTAATGTAATCCAAAGCCAAAGAATATTGCCCAAGTTTATCAAAGTGCTGTGCCAGGAAATACTGAACCCAGAGTAGTGTTGTTGGTGGTTCCTTCTCCCCAATCTCTGCAATCAAACAAACATAAAATTATTATGGGGAAGAAGACAAAGCAAAGCAAATCACATAACTTTCTCTCTCCCAATGCATAATGAAATTAATAATTATTACAATAATAAACAGTAAAAACCCAGCAAAAACGACCAATTTCAACAGAAAGAGATATGACTTCATGCCGTAAAGTTCAAAAAGTGGCAGCCAAGCACAGAAACAAGACACTAGTTCCATAGGCTTCTAACTCCTACCGCACTCCAAAGAAAGAATGCTGGGGAAGAGAGGTCAATTAATCTAACTCTGTGAGTTCTCAGGCTGAGAGCATAAGGCAGCAGGCCCAGGAAAAGTCAAGGAAAACAGCTCAGAGAAAAGGTGTCCCTAACCACTACTACAAATTCCACAGAGGCAGGAACTGCCAGGGGTTAGCAGTGCCGAGGCCTGGACAGTGAGTGAAGGAAACTCAAAGCGAAAGGGCTTGAGGAGGATACGTTTCTGACAGGGTGATATTAACTCTGCTCATCAGCTGAGCTCTGTCCTGTTCCCCCCTTGTACCCTCAAGCTACAGAAGAGCAGGTAAGAAATATCAAGCTATCAAAATGGATTTCAGAAGGGAAGACATACAGGTATAAAATACGGTAGAAAGAGTGGAAAGGAGCATTTACCCGCACTACATCAGATAAAAGTAGAAGGCCTCCTAGGCTAGCTGAACTATAATGAAATGATAGTAATGCACACACACAAATTAGCATAAACTAAAACAAATAATAAAGGCAAGAAGCCAAGCACTTATCTTGCTCCTGTTTATATAAACTGTATTTCAAGGGAACCAAACATTTGATGAGGGAAAATTCTCTGTAAGAATTACAGCTAATAAATGCAGAAGAAATGATGATAGGATTGAGGCAACGATCTTCAGCAGCTGTGAAAATTATCAGGTGAGAGGCCAATGAGGAACTTTTTAATGGGCAGATGAGGCTGACAACATCTGAACCCTGATCAATCTTATTTACTTCTGTGTCTGTTATTTTATTATGAAATTTGTTTCAAACTAACAAAAACAAAAGGATAATAACATGTATCAAAAGATACACCAAGAAAGCAGACTAAAGTGGCATCTGCATGGCTGAGAGCACTCCAGCGTGTTTTCTAAATCAAGCTGTCCTGGTTTACATATGCCCCTACAAACAGAGAAACAAAACACGGTTTAAAGTAATAAGAGTAGAAAGAGGAGAGAAGTAGGGATTCAGGAAAAACAGGTTCCAATACATTAAGTGCACAATCTTGGCCAAGCCACTCAAACTCTCAAGTGTGTTCACTTGTGTTAAAATAGGGTTAACTCCCACCTCACAAAATCATGGAAAATTTAAATTAAATAAGATTGAAAGTGCTCTTCTCATTTCATTCACTAACTCAAAAACTATTGAGTAAACAGCTAATCATGTAGCACGTACGTAACAAGATAGTTTTACTATAAGTGACTAAAAAGGGATTGAAATGAGTAATCAAATTCCAATTCGATCTAATTTAAACTTACCATAAGGGCTAAAAAAGTCACACATTTTAAGAGAGGCTTCATAATTAGTAACAAGCTCCTGGATTATAGAAATCTGTTAAAGAAACATAGTTTTAAAATTTAAAAATATTTTATGAAGGTACTTATACTTACTATGGGTTAGATTTGGAAACAATACACAGCGTATTTCAGAACTATGAATTAACAAATTAACTAAACCACTAGGGTGTCTGCTTTTCCCCCCTCCCTGTGTGGGAGGAAAGTGAGAAAAAACACAGAAAATGTACTGCTCTCTTCATTAACAGTAAAACAGAAGCTCATAATTTCTCATCTCAATAAGTAGCTTCAGGTTTTGAAAGACAAATTATCACTAGTTACTACAAAACCTTTTTTTGACCAATAAACATATCTGTATAATTTATTATTATTAACAGTTAATTTATTTGCCTTTTGCTTCCCACTGTTATATTGTGAAGCTGTAAGCCATTATATATTCAGATTTTCTAAAATGCTACTCATCACAAAAAAGTCAAGTAAAATGATCCAAATCATACTCTAAGTTGACGGAAGTGGTTAAGTAAACTCCTAACTAGATGTTTAAACTACCTTTGTTTTTAGTGATCATTGTGGCAGAATTTGCATTTCACTGCTCACTCAGGTACGAACGAAATATTATAAACCACACAGTAAATGTGCTATGCCCTGCGAGCACCAACAGCAACATGAATGAGAAGTGGCAGAAGAAAAAAAGGTGCTTACATGTATAGTTGGCTTTAAATGGCCACTGATGTTAACTGTTCAGAATGAGTTAGAAAATATAACCATCTTATTTGTGAATTTCAAAAAAAAAAACCAAAGGTCAAAAGTGAAGGAAAATCATTAAAAATTTTAACTGTATCTGACCAATATGATATTATTTTCATAGTGATAATGTTGAAAGTATTCTCATTTTTTAAAAATGGCCATAATGCTACTAATACCTCCAGACACAAGGAAGATACAGACAGTGGAACAACAATAATAAGAAGCCAGTAACTGTCACAAGTGCTTTACAAATATCATGTAGTAATTATATTAATAGTCAACCCTATATATGGCACTTACCATGAGGTAGGCACTGTTTTAAGTACTTTACCTGTATTAACTCAGCCTTAAAACAACCCTATGAAGTATGCACTATTAATAAACTTCATTTTACAGGCAATGGGAAAATAAATATAAGCTGCAAGTACACAATGGCGGAGCCAGAGTTCAACCCAAGCAACAAGGCTCCCGAGTTAAGCTTTTAACTGCTCTGCTCTCCCAGTTTTTGGTATACGGAGCATTGGCACAACTGCTTCGAAAAGGGGAATTCTCCTTGACTCACCGGGGTCCTGTCAGATTAGAGACTAACGGCAGCACAGGAACCTTTCCCCAGTCAGTTCTAGTGCACAAAACACCAAGTGGTGCGCATCAAATCAGCCAGACTGTGGAAAATACACTAAGTGCTTCCAAACTGAGGAGGAGTAAACTTTAAACACACACACACACTGGGGGGACAACAGGGAGGGGAAAGTTTGCCAGAGAGGGAAAAAAAGTAAGACAAGGCTTAGGAGGGACAAACTTATGACACTCTTATGTGGCATTAAGCAACACATTTCCAAATACACATTTCCAAACTGAGTTCCCAAAGAATCTTAAAGAGTTCTTGAAATTTAAAGAAGTTTTCTTTTGTTTGATTGGGGGGAGGAGTGTGTTACAGAGGGACAAACTGGGCAGCCACCCAGCCTCTGGAGGAGTCCTAACTGTGTTATGTCTCAGGTCTCCACGTGCATTATGATCTCTAATATCAAATGCTGTATATTAATTATACCATTAAAAAAATTGTGATCTCCTACTTCAAGTTTGTAAACAGTTATTACATGGGGGCCGCCCCATGGCCACGTGGTTAAGTTCACACACTCCGCTTCGGCAGCCCAGGGTTTTGCCGGTTAGGATCCTGGGCATGGACATGGCACTGCTCGTCAAGCCATGCTGAGGCAGCATCCCACATAGCACAACCAGAAGAACCTACAACTAGAATATACAACTATGCACTGGGGGCCTTTGGGGAGAAGAAGAAAAAAAAGAAGAAGACTGGCAACAGATATTCGCTCAGGTGCCAGTCTTTAAGAAAAAAACAAAATAAAGCATTTATTACAACAATATAAAATAAGCAAATATAAAATTAACAAAAGAGAGTTATTTCATTTACGAATCATGTTAGCATGTCTACAAAAAAACTAAAAAGATTTGAAAAGTCTGAGTGAAATTAAAAATGACTGATTTGCTTATTATTGTCAGCAGCCCTGGTAAAAGGCAGAAACTAAGATTCTGTTCTTAAAACAATTACAGGTTTTCCTATCTAAATTCACTTACCTACCTACTACTAAAATAAAGTCTGAAACATTGCTTACTATTTTGTGAAAAGTGGGATGTTAGACATTTTATTTTCAGATAAACAATTATTTTCTTTCTAGGCCTCTTTATGAACTAACCAAAACGTACTGTAGTTTCACTGCCAGTGAGGAACAGACCATGTATCCACAAAGTCCTAATCAGATTTTGGTATTTATGGCTACAAAAGAAACCTCTTCGTGCATTCCATGTAACACAAGATGGTATGATTTAATTAATTTAATTTTGAATCCAAATTAGAACCCTGCTCCACAAAGTCACAGGGTATCGTGTCCATAAAGCCACTGACCATCCTACTGACACCAGTCAAAAAACAAAAAAAAGACCAAATTAAAACACTTCTCAGACCTACATATCTTTGTGATATGATGCTACATCATATGGCATAATTTTCTATAGAAAGGCAAAAGGGAAATAGATGGGACTATACATTAACAATGAGGAAAAATATGTAAATAACATAAAAAAACAGACCACAAAAAGAATTTACACACATTATGACTTCACTAAAATACATATACATAAATACATTATCAATAAAAACATTACCAAATAATTAGGATAGTAAAATATGGGTACATTCTTTCAAAAAACAATAATGCTGTATTGTTTTAATAATAAGACTTTTAAAACAAAGATTGTTAAAAAACAATGTTTCTTAAAATCTGAATAAACCTACAACTAGTAAGGAGATTGAATGAGTAATCAAAAATCTATTAACAAGGAAAACCCTGGACCCAATGGCTTCACTGGTGAATTCTACCAAACATTTAAAGAACCAATGCCAAAGTTTCCCAAAAAACAGAAGAGAAGCAAACACTTCCAAATTCATTTTATGAGGCCAGCATTACTCTGATACCAAAGCCAGAAAAAGACACCATAAGAAACTACTGATCAATACCCCTGATGACCATGGATGCAAAAATCCTCAACAAAATACGAGAAAACAGAATTCAGCAGCATACTAAAAAGATTATACACCATGACCAACTGGGATTTATTCTGGAATGCAAGGATGGTTCAACATATGAAAATCAAGGTAATATGCCACATCAACAAAATGAGGGGAAAAAAAAACCTATCATCTCAATTGATGCAGAAAAACCATCTGACAAAATTCAACATCCTTTCACTATAAAAACACTCAATAAACTAGGATTAGAAAGATACTACCTCAATATAATGAATGCCATCTACAAAAAACCCACAGTGAATATATCAAATAGTGAAAGACAAAATGTTTCTACTAAGATCAGGAATGAGGCAAGGATGCCCACTTTCACCACTTCTATTCAACACAGTTCTGGAAGTTCTAGCCAAAGCAATTAGGCAAGAAAAAGAAATAAAAGGCATCCAAACTGGAAAGGAAGAAGTAAAAATATCTGTTTGCAGATGATATGACCTTTCCTACAGAAAATCCTAATCACACCACAAAAAAACTTTACAACTAATAAACAAATTCAGCAAAGTAGCAGGATACAAAGTCAATATGCAAAAATCTGTTGCATTTCTATACACAAATAATGAACAACCTGAAAAGGAAATTACAAAAACAACTCCATTCACAACAGCATCACAAAGAATAAAATACTTATGAATTAACCAAGGAAATGAAAGACTTGTACAATGAAAACTACAAAACATTGCTGACAGAAATTTAAAAAAACATAAATAAACAGAAACACATCCCATGTTCACGGATTGGAAGACCTCTTATTAAAATGTGAGTACTACCCAAAGATATCTACAGACTCAATGCGATCACTATCAAAATCCCAATGACTTTTTTTTTCAAATAGAAAAACTCATCCTAAATTCACATGGAATCTCAAGGGACCCGAAATAGCCAACGCAATCTTGAAAAACAAGAACAAAACCAGAGAACTCACATCCTGATTTCAAAACTCACTACAAAGTTATAGTAATTAAAACATGTGGATGAAAACTGACAGAGACTAATGGAATAAAAGAGCCCAGAAACAAACCCTCGCATATGTGGTCAAATGATTTTTGACAAGGGTGTCAAGACCACTCAATGGGGAAAGGGCAGTCTTTTCAACAAATGGTGAGGGGGAAACTAGATATCCACAGGTAAAAGAATGAAGCTAGACCCTTACCTAAAACCATAAACAAAAATTAACTCAAAATGGATCAAGGACCTAAAGGTAGGACCTAAAACAATAAAACATATGACAAAAGCTTCATGACCTGGATTTGGCAATGATTTCTTGGATATGATACCAAAGGCACAGGTAACAAAAGAAAAAATAAACAAACTGGACTTATTGAATATTTTTAAATTTTGTGCATCAAAAGATCACTCAGAGTAAAAAGGCAACCCACAGAATGGCAGAAAGTATTTGTAAATCATGTATCTGATAAGGGGTTAATATCCAAAATATATAGAGAACTCCTAAAACTCAACAACGACAAAAAACTCTATTCAAAAGTGGGCAAAAGACATTTCTCCAAAAAAGACATACAAATGGCCAATCAGCAAATGAAGAGATGCACAACATCACTAATCATTACAGAAATGCAAATCAAAACTACAATGAGATACGACTTCACCCTCAGAGGATAACTATTATCAAAAAAACAGAAAACAACAACTGTTGATGAAGACGTAAAGAAACTGGAACTCTTGTGCACTGTTGG